TGCTGCTTATGGCGGACGGCCTGCGGCCCGACGCGGCGTCTGCCGTGGAAGACCTGCGGTCGATGGGCCTGCGGCTCGCGATCATGACGGGCGACGGCATGGGGGCCGCCATGGCAGCTGCCGAGCAGCTGGGCATCGAGGCGACCGACACCTACGCCGAGCTGCTGCCTGCCGACAAGCTTGAGATGCTGGGCGTCCTCCGCCGTGCCGCCGGCGGCGCGCTCGCGCACGTCGGGGACGGCATCAACGACGCGCCAGCGCTGGCGGCCGCGGACGTCGGCGTCGCGATGGGCGCGGCCGGCGCGGCGGCGGCGGTCGAGGCCGCCGACGTGGCGCTCTTCGGCAGCGACCTCGCGGCGCTCGCGTTTGCGGTGCGGCTCGGCCGGCGGGCGGCGTGGGTGGTGGCGTTCAACATCGGGTTTGCCGTGGCCGTGAAGGTTGCTGTCCTTGCGGCCGCGGCGGCGGGCTTCACGAGCCTCTGGCTGAGCCTGCTGGCGGATGTGGGGGCGTCCCTCGCGGTCACGCTGCACGCGCTGAGCCTGCTGCGCTTCGAGGGCCGCGGCGGCGGCGGCGGCGGAGGTGGGCACGTTGGGGCCGAGGGCGGCGGTGGCGGCGGCGCGGGGGGAGGAGGACGCAGCGGAATCCTCGGGCGGATGGCACTGCCTTGGGGGCGTCAGAAGTACAGTGAACTTTCGGAGGGCGGGGACGCGGATGACCAGGGGGGTGGCGACCTGGAGGAGGGCGGGCGGCGCGGCAGTGGGCATGGAGGAAAGGGCAAGGCGGGGCCCGCCGGTGCCCTGGAAATGGGGGGCGCGGCCTGGGCCGCGCGGCGCGCGGTGGGCGGGGCGCTCGCGGCGGCGGGCAGCCCCCGTGCGGGACGCAGCCCGCGGGCCGGCTCGCCCGCCGGCAGCCCGCGCGTGGCGCCGGTGTACACGGCCGTGCCCGCTGCCGGGCCGGGTTTTGAGGCCGGCGGCGGCGGCGGCGGCAGCGGCTTGGGCGGTGCACGCGCCGGCCCGGTTTTTGTATTGGAAGACGAGTGATCTTTCGTGATCTGGGCTCTGCTTAAGCTGCCTTGATTGCTGGGCCCTTGTGCTGCACTCTCCTGGCTTTTGGGATTCTCCGCCTGTGCCGTTAGGGACGTCACCTGTGGCTGCATGAACTGTGCACTGGCATAAGGGGAGGGGGGCGTCAGCGCGCCGATTTGAGCACCTGGCGCTCGTAATATCTTACATTACCGTACATCAAACTGTGTTGGCGGTGTGATGAACCATGCATTCAGCACCAAGGGCAACACCCGCGCCCCGGGCCTGGCTGGCTCTTAGGTGGGGGCCTGGGAATGGGGCTCGATCGCCTGTCCGCTGCAGCCACCATCGGGGTCCAGCGGCTGGCCCCCCGAGGCGCGCCAGCTTGGCCGGTACTGCGCCCTGCTCGGCTTGCCTGCAACACAGACGCCTGTCCGGGCGCAAACCCCTGTTGCGGTTGTGCCCTGGCCTTGGAGTTTGATCCAGGGCTCAGTGCCTGTGCTGCCCGCTTCCGTCAAGCCGACTGGGTGATTGTCGTTTGAGAGTGTAGAGTTCTTGTAACAGTTTGCAGGTTGCGCCGGCGAAACATCCCTGCAACAAGGGGCGTCGCAGCCAGCATTTTTCAAAGCATGTAGCAGTGCAAGGAAGGCCGAAATCCAGCAGCTGACCGGCAGTGCAACACCTGCTGGTGAACGAATGTCAGCTAGGCGGCGCGTGTCTGGCATGGGGTGCCGCAAGCGGTGCTGTTGCACACTTCTCGCGGAATAATTCTTTTGAACCGGCAAACACTTCGGCATCTCGCAACAGCGTGTGCGAAAAGGATCACCACAACACCTGGAAGCAAAGCAGTCGGCTGGGCTCAAAAGACGCCACAGACCGAATGTGGGGGGCAACTGTCACTGCTTAGTCCGCGTGGGGGGCGCGTGTCGCGCGTTTGTGCCATGTTTTCTTGGATGTGACAAGGTTGTAAAAGTGTGCGTGCGAGCATCCGACCGCCGCGTGCGCGCCCAAAGCCGATGCCTCGGCCGCTGTCCGGTGTCGTCGACGCGAGGTTATCAAAACGCGGTCAGGTGTTTGAACAGTGCGTAGGATCGAACCCAGAAATCCGGCTTGTGCGTCACGGCTTGGTCCAGCAACGGCGTGGATGCTCAGTGTTTGTGTGCAGCGTATGCGTGTGGCCCCGAGTCATGCAGGTAAGAGGCGCCCAGCGCCACTTTCCAAGGTGGGAGGAGCCAAGCCGTGGCTCAAAGAGCAGTTGTCGCCTGCAAGGATTCGGGTGCCTCGTGCACCCCCTGAGGCGAACACGCAAACCTTGGGCTTGATGCCCACAGCCCGCGGCTTGTACTTCACACGACGCCGCGCGGCCGGGCCAAAGCAGGGGCAAATGCAGGTGGTTCCAGGGTCTTGACGTCGTGAACCCTCAGTGGTTTCATGACGCCCGCCGTCAAGAGATGACTCAGATCAGTGCAAGAGATGCTTGTGAGGTGAAGCCGGCCGGTTGCACTCGCAATGTTGCGTTTGCACGCAGTGGCAGCCGGCCCTCAGCCCCGCCGCGGCCCCAGGCCGCGGCGCGGCACCTGCCGCCTTGAGCCCAAGGTCGGCAGCTGCCCAACCGGCAGTGAGGGCGATTTTGACGCTGCACCGCGCGCCGGCGGGCAGGGCAAAGCGGCGCGGGCGGCCCCAACAAAGGGCCGCGTGTGCTGCCGACCGGCTGCTGCAGAGGCCCACAGAGCATGCGGGGGAACGGTGCGCGTCGGCGCGCACAGCAGAAGACTCCGACACTCCGCGTGGCAGGAGAAACATGCGGGGCATCCCGTTGGATTTGCAGGCGTTCTTATCAATCAGGCGCGTGGTGCCCTTTAGGAGGAATCTTGCGCATCGGGGTTGTGAGCACTCTGGTATCGTGTGAGGTATTGGCCATGTTGTGGGTTCTGATATTTGCTCAGAAGAGCGGGCCCAGCCCGCCAGCCGCGAGGCTGAGCAGCGGCACACCAGGCTGCAGCACCTCGGAAGCCGGACCCCACACGGGCAGTGCCGCTGGAGCGCCGCACGCGGCATCGAGCAGCGAGCAGCCGCCCCAAATCGCCATCATCGGCGCCGCCGACGCGGCCCCACAGCTGACCCAGCTGGTCGTGCTGCTGCCGCTCGCCTCGCGCGGCGCGACAGTCAGGGGCGACTGCGGCGCCGCGTCGAATGACGCAGGCATGCTGCCGGCGCAGCCCCCATTGAGCTGGGCCGCCCATAGGTCCAGTGCCATCCTCTGCTGGTCGAGCGCCGCCGCGCGGCGCTGCACCTCCGCCTCCTGAGCTTCCAGGTACGCCCTCAGCGCCGCCGCCCCCCGCTCCTGCGCGGCGCGCGCGCGCCGCAGCAGCAGCTCCGCCGCGCCGCGCGCGCCGGCAGGCGCGGGGCCTGCTGCAGAGTGGGGGCCGCCTCCGAAGGCGGCGGAGTCGACAGGCAGGTAGGCGTCGGTGGCCGCGGCGGCGGGCAGGATCATCATTGGCTGGGGGCTGCCGGCGCCACCCGCCGCGCCGAGCGCGGAGAGCGGGCCGGGGGTAATCACCAGGGGCGCGGCGGGGGCGGCCGGCGCAAGCGCGGGCGCGATCGCGGCGGCAGTGTCGTCGGTCTCTGGGAAACGCAGCTCGTTGGCCCTGCGGAAGTCGGAGGGGCGAGATGGCGAGATGGGCCCAAGGTCGGATCTCGAGCGGTCACAGGTCGACTGAGTGGAAGCCCAGGGGACGCGGGGCCCCGAGCGCGCCCCGGCTGCCGCACCTGTGTGCGAAGAAGCAGAGGGGCCGCGTGCAGGCCGCGCCGAGCTTGCACATCTGGGTCCTGAAGCGCTCGGGGTGCAGCCAGTACTCCTGTGGGGGCGGGGCGGCGCGATCGTGCAGGTGGGCGGGGTGAGGTGCAGCCGGTGCATGGGCGCGAGGTGGGGGGCTGGGGCAGGGCCCATGACGGTGAGGTGGAGGGGCCGCGAGGTGGGAGGGCGCTCGGAGGACGCGCGGCAGGGAGGGGAACTTTGTTTACGCTGGGAGGGGATGTTGCAGCGCCCACGAGTGCGGCCGGTGAGCGCACCTGGAGCGAATGCGAGTTGGAGCAGGCGTCGCCGCTGGGGCAGGAGCGGCCCTGCGGGTGGGGCGCGCGCGGCAGGCGGGGAGGGGGAGTCCGATGAACGCCTTTGGACAGCTGCTGTGTCTGGGGTGCGAAGGCTGGGACACCACGTATGCGAACAACCCCACCCATTTGCCGACGGCCGCCCGTCCGCTCAGCTCAGCTTTGATCAGCAGCGCAATCCAAGCCTGCCTGTGTGCCCAAAAAGGGCCCGATTTTGGCCACCGGGTGGCGCGCCTGCATCGTGTGTGGGCAGGGCTGGGAGGTGTACTGAAAGGCGCGCGGGTCGCGCCGCCTGCCTTTCTCCTTGTCGTGCGCAAAGGGGCAGCGCGCCCAGTCGTGGTTGTCGGAGCGCACGCACGCCTCCACCTGCGAGGCGTGGCGGGGTGGGACGCCGCAGAATGAGCGTTTATACGAGCGGGGCGGGCCTGCCGGTGTGCAGGGGCCCGCTGGCCTCCGCCGCGCCTGTGAGGTGGCCCCCCGCAGGGAACTTCCCCAGGGGGCGCTGAGTCTCCTGTTGGGGACGGGGCGGAGGTGCCGCCCGCCGACGGCGGCCGGGCAGCATGCGAGGCCGGGCTGCACCCACCTTGAAGCTATACATCAGGAAGTCGGGGGTGTATTGGTTGAGGTTCATGGTCCCTGGGGCCCTTGAGGGGGCAGGTAGGAAGAGGGGCGGGGGAATTCAGTTGTGATTCGCCAAGAGCGCAGGGCACCTGTCGCCGCTGCTCGGTACGCTCAAGGTGATGCGCATTACTCTGCAGCGCCATGCTGCCATCGTCATGCGTCGATGACCACTTTCTCGTCAGTGCCGGCCGCGGCGCATCAGCAATGCCACGAGTGCTGTCGAATGACGTTCCTTGCCGGTCGTGCCGCTCTCACAGCCACTAATTCCAGTTGAACACGTCTATCCGAAGTGCACTTACGGTTCTCAATCAGCTACCGGGCTCAGCTTGTTTCACAGTCCCGTACTTCGCGGTGGGCTGCCAGGTCGAAGCGGGCGAATGGTTGCAAAGAATGACGTGGCTACAATCTCGAAAGAATTCAATTCATCTAATGAAAGTACCGAGAGTGATGGGGGTGTTGCTTTGCGATGCGAGCAATAAATTGTGCTGAGTCGTCCTGCTCGCATACAATTGCTGCAGGTGAGCAGGGCTCCTGAGGCCTCAGTGGGCCTCAAAAACCCAGTGACCTGAATCCGACTATGTGCCTGCCAACTCAAGCTTTCAATCACTGCTGTATGCCACACTCGCTCATGTGTGGTGCCTCGGTGTCTGCGGTGGCAGTCTGAGCAAGCTTGCGTCACGTTGCAGCGCGCAGTGACATTGTCCCAACTTCACACAGTTTCGAGTACTGGTCTCTGCTTGCATGATCCGGGGGGTTCCGAAAGTCAATATGATACAGGATCAGAGTGCCAATGGTGTTGTGAAGCTAGGCGGCGACGAGGATACTGACCGCGCATGCCTGCAGAACAGCGTATGCCCGTGTTGGGGGCACTGACAGACCCTTGTAGGCAAAACTCCAGGTGCACACCTGAATGAGCACGGGACGTATTAGAACCAGCCACGAAGCAGCCCAGAGGATGTTTGCCTTTGATGGTGTCTAGCCCGGGACCCAACCCACCCCGACACCCTCTGCGAGGAGCATCAGTCATCCGGCCGACGCTTCACAAAGTTGCGTTGGGACTCTGATCAGAGCCCGCTCTTCCACCCCACGACGTCACGTTGCATGTGAGGATAGAAAGTTCTGCACGCGCAGTGCTGTGAGGTCCCACCATGGCCAGCAGCTAGGGCTGTCAGTTTGCTGATTGAGGAGTATTGGTTGTTGAGACACACGGTCATTGGAGGCTGTATTTTTGCCGAGCTTCATAAGAAAACCTGCATGGACTGGTGCTTGTTTGTACGCAACGCTATCAGGCTGCTCTGATGCGGAGCAATACTGTACCTGGGGCGGTTTCAGATTGGCGGGGTTGGGGGGTAGGGGACGATGAGAAGCAAGGGCCAATGGGCAGGGATGGGGCGGGCACATGCATGCAAGGTATCTGGCAGGCCACCTTGTGCTTTCAATGCGCGGTCAGGGTCGACAAACCGCCACACCGTTGAACCATTGTCGACAGTGGCGGCGG